GGAAGGGGAGACAAGTGGTGGGACCACTAAATAAGGAGGAAGGCGATCCAGTGACTGGTATGACTATTTTGCCTCTGTGTTCTCCCCAAAGCAGGATGGGGGAGATCCGCATAGGAGATTAGCGGCACAGATTAGAGTCACCCCCCCCCCCAAAGTCGAGGGGCTCCTCAGGGCATTGGACATTACAAAGGTGCCAGGTCCTGATGGGTTACACCCGAGAGTACTTAGAGAGTTGGCAGGGGTTCCCTCACGCCCGCTGGCCTCCATTTTTGAGGCCTCGTGGAGAGCGGGTGAAGTTCCAGACGACTGGAGGGTGGCATCAGTGGTCCCAATTTTCAAAAAGGGTGGTAGAAGGGACATGGGGAATTACAGACCTGTTAGCCTTACATCCATTGTAGGAAAAACAATGGAAAGGCTCATAATAGAGAGGGATCTAGTGATGCTAGATAGGGAAGGGAGGCTGACAGCCACACAACATGTCTTCCACAAAAACAGGTCCTGCCAGATAAACTTTGTGGGATTCTATGACAAGGTTTCGAGGTGGCTGGATGGAGGGGATGCAGTGGATGTGGTTTACCTGGATTTCAGCAAGGCCTTTGGCAAAGTGCCCCATGATATCCTGGTTGAGAAACTGAGGAGTTTTGGGATACACCAAAGGACCATCTGGTGGATTAGGGCATGGTTGACTGACCGAAAGCAGAAGGTAACCATTAGTGGGGAATCATCGGGATGGTGGCCAGTGACAAGCGGGGTCCCCCAGGGCTCTGTCCTGGGGCCGATCCTGTTTAATCTTTTCATTAACGACATGGAGGAAGGGGTGAACAGTCTGCTGATCAAATTTGCAGACAATACTAAAATTGGAGCAGTGGTCACAACTGAGGAGCAGGTACTCCAGATCCAAAAGGATCTGGGCAGACTTACTTACTTACTTATTTATTTAGAGTTTTTGTATGCCATCCCATCGCTTAAAGTTTCGGGATGGCTCACATAAACAAACATAATACAAAATACAATTAACAGTTAAAATCCGGAAACACCCTGGCTGCACAATTTTATTTATTTATTTACTTAAAACATTTCTATGGCGCACCCATCGCAACAAGCCTCTGGGCGGCTCACAACATAATTAAAATATATAAATAACAGTACATTAGAATTCATTAAAAACTTGGCAACATTTCGGCATAAAATTTTAAAATCCTAAAATACATAATAAATTAACAATTAAAATAATTATTAAATAAAACGTTCTTAGCCTGGTGCCGAAAAACAAATAACGATGGCGCCAGGCAGACCTCTCTGGGGAGCACATTCCATAGGTGGAGTGCCACCTCAGAGAAAGCCCTCTGTTGCCAATATCAAGGGGCGGGAGGGCAAATAAGGAAGCAGGCATTCCTTCAAGTATCCAGGTCCCAAGCCGTTAAGGGCTTTGTAGGTGATAACCAGCACCTTGAATTGAGCCTGGACTTCGATGGGAAGTCAGTGGAGCTGATAGAAGACTGGGGTTATATGAGAGTAATGCCCAGTCCCCGACAGCATCCTGGCAGCTCTATTTCGAACCATCTGAAGTATCCGGACTGTCTTCAAGGGCAGCCCCATGTAGAGCATGTTACAGTAGTCCAATCGGGAAGTAACCAGTGCATGTGTCACTGTCGCTAGGCAGTCATCCTCCAGGTAGGGACGCAGCTGATGGATTAGCCGAAGCAGAAGGAATGCACTCCTCACCACAGCAGTCACTTGAGCTTCCAAAGAAAGCTCTGGGTCGAGGAGCACTCCCAAGCTGCGGACTTTAGAGTTTAGAGGGAGTGCAACCCCATTCAGGACAAGGTCCAAGTCACCTACCCCGGAGCCTGAGCCACCCACCAACAGGACCTCCGTCTTGTCTGGATTGAGCTTCAGTTTATTGGCCCTCATCCAGCCCATTGCCTCGGCCAGGCACCGGTTCAGTACAGCCACTGCCTCACCTGGATTGGTTGAGAAAGAGAGGTAGAGCTGGGTATCATCAGTGTACTGATGATTCCGCAGCCCACACCTCCAGATGACCTCTCCCAGCTGTTTCATGTAGATGTTGAACAGCAAGGGGGACAAAATAGACCCCTGCGGTACACCAGGGCATAGCTGCCATGGCGCAGAGGTAAAGTTCCCCAGCACCCCTTCTGGAATCGGCCGTCAAGGTAGGAGTGGAACTACTGCAAAGCAGTGCCTTCTACTCCCAGCCCCCTTAGCCTATCCAGAAGGATACCATCATCGATGGTATCGAAAGCTGCTGTGAGGTCCAGGAGAACCAACAGGGACGCACTCCCCCTGTCCCTCTCCCTGCACAGGTCATCATACAGGGTGACCAAGGCAGATTCAGTACCATACCCGGGTCTGAAGCCGAACTGAAATGGGTCCAAATAATCAGTCTCATCCAAGAGAGCTTGGAGTTGTCCTGCCACCACCCGTTCCAACACCTTGCCCAAGAACGGGATGTTGGCCACCGGTCTATAATTGGCAGCCATCTCTGGATCCAGGGACGCCTTCTTTAGGACCGGCCTAACCACTGCCTCCTTTAGAGAGGCAGGCATCCGACCGTCCCTCAGAGAGGCGTTGATGACCTCCAGGATCCAGGCACCAATCCTGTGTTTGGCTTTGGACAGTAGCCACGACAGGCAAGGGTCGTGTAAACAGGTGGTGGGACGTACTTGTCCAAGCACATTGTCCACATCATCAGGCCACAATAACTAGAACTCATCCAACAATATGTGACCAGACGGTAACATTGGTACCTTCCCTAAGGGCTCTGAATCACTAGTGGAATCCAGCTTGTGACGAATCTGAGTGACTTTCTCAGATTCCTGAGAAAGCACTTCCTGACAGGACCCCGAGGGTGTGGAATGGACTTCCAGGAGAGGTCGTTGAGGCCCCATCAGTGAGAGTGTTCAAAGATAGGTTGGTCATGCACATGGTGGGCATGTTGTGAGCGGAGCCGGCTAGTGCCGGAGGTCTGACTAGATGGCTCGGGAGGCCTGACTCGCTCTGTATCTGTGTTTCTATGCATGTCCGGCCTATCCTTCATGCATGTTTCTATGCATGTCCGGCCTATCCCGGGGCTTCAACCATCCCCTGTGGAAGTCCATTCCATCCCCTTGGGGTCCTAACAGTCAGGAAGTCCTTCCTGGCATCCACCCTAAAAGGTAACAGGTAGGATTGCATAGTTGAAAGCAGTCCTTCAGCTAACCTGATCCCAAGTTTTAAAACTCGAAAGGCAGTAACCAGCACTTTCAAGGTAACGTAACCAGTATGATAGGCATAAAATGAGTGTTGCATGGTTAGATTTTCAAGCCCCAATCTACATTATGATAGATGTAGGCATTTACTTAGTATTCTGTAGCCTACAAGTGGAGCTTTTCTAGATGCAGTAGGAATCCAATTCCCATCAGCCCCAGCCACCTTGGACCATAATAAGTGACATCTGGAGGGCCACAGGTTTCTGAGCCCTGCTATAGATAGTTTATGTATACTAGTATGAAAAACAGAAGTCTTTTTTCCCATCAATTCAACATTTACTGATATGGAGCAGGTGGTATGTAAACTTCTGGGATGCAGGACATACCAGCTTTTTACTCAAAGAGTTCTGCATAATTCAAAAAGTTTGCAGTGGATCTACTAAAAGATCATACTGGTCTGCTGATTCTTTTCTCCACTGAGCGTCATGTGTGATCACCTAATCTTGGAGCTGGTTGCTGGATAGTCCATTAGTGTTGTGCTGTTGTTTTTGCATTTAGGAAAGCCTGTGAGCTTTCTGACTTACTGCCCCTAGAATGAGGGTCCCCCTGGGCTACTTGGGCTGATGCCCATGTCTCTGATTATTCCACAGTTACACCAGAATAAACTCCTTAGTCATTCCATTGTCACAGGACATGGTTGTTTCTGCTAGAATAGATTAATACCACTGGATTCACCAAAGCAATTCTTTCACTCTTCGTGGTAGGAGAGGTAGTCACTGAACCCAGCTTCATCAAAGTGTTATTTTTTCTTGTAGGATTCAGTGCAAGAAGTGTGTCCATACACTTTGTGCAATAAAATTTCCCCAGGATCCTCCCTCTAGTTATGTGTGAATGGCCTCATAGCAGAGTTGTTTTCTTCAGTGGTGCCTCTGAAATCGTTCTTGGAGTGTGCTGGCTTTGCCATCCCATTATGCTCCTATCTATCTATATATCTATATCTATCTATCTATCTATCTATCTATCTATCTATCTATATTAAAACATTTCTATGCCGCCCCTTGCCAAAGCCTCGGGGCAGCTCACAACACAAACTAAAATACAATAAAATATAAAAATAACAATATAAAATAAATAACAATATAAAAGAAGAATATGATAGAATCATAGAAGAGCAGAGTTGGAAGGGCCATGAAGGCCATCCGGTTCAACCCCCTGCTGTTGCACGATGCCAGTTTATACCATCCCACTCAGATGACCATTCAGTTTCACCTTGAATGCCTCTAGTGTGGGAGAGCCCACAGCTTCTCTAGGCAGCTGGTTCTACTGCTGTATTGCTCTGACAGTGAGGAACCCTGTCCTGATATTTAGCCTGAATCTAGATTGTCATAATTTGAATTGAATATTCTGTGTCTGGTGTCAGCAAGAAGAGATCCTGACCTTCTCTGTGACAGCCTTTGAGGAACTTATAGAGGGGTATTATGTCCCCCCTCAGTCTTCCCTTCTCAAGACTGAGCATGCCCAGTTCTCTCAGTCCCTCAGGGCAGTGTTTCAGAACCCTGGATCATTTCTGTTGCCCTCCCCTGGACCCTTCCTAAATTTTCTGCGTCTTTCTTACATCTTGGTGCCCAGAACTGGACACAGTATTCCAGGTGAGGTCTGACTAGTGAGGAGTATAGTTACTGCTTATGGTTTAGAAGCAATACTTATGTTAATACATCCCAAAATAAAATTTGACTTTTCTATGGCTGCCTCACATTGTTGGGTCATATTTTAGCCTGTTATCCACAATAACTGCACATTTTTTCCTCTACAGGCTCCTCGGCTTGCTGAAGTCTTCTGTGTGTGCCACTTGGCAACAGGGGACATGCTGAGGGCTATGGTGGCTTCTGGCTCAGAGCTGGGGAAGAGACTGAAGGAGACGATGGATGCTGGAAAGCTGGTAGGTGGAGAGCAGCAACTGCACTGTGCCACTCTCTTTGGTCTCATCTCTCAGTAACATGGAATGCTCTGTAAACTGAGTGAGCCAGCTGCTACCTTTTGACTTAAACCACGGGGATGGTCTCAGGCCTTTGTTTCTTTGCCTGAAAGTTGGGAACTAGGGGAATGTCTTAACATGCCCACAGAGGTTTTGAATAAGCACAGAACCTCCCAGGGCCCATTCTGCTTTGATTTATGGAAGCTTTCCATGGGGTACAACTTCATTTCCTAGCTATATTGCCTCTCAGTTTTTGGGGAAGGGCAATTTTCTTTGCTTTCTTACCTGTAGATATAGAATATCTCTCTAGGTTTTCTGATTACTGCAATTAAAGGCAGCCCTGTTTAGATTTGCTGAATATATAGAGAAAAAGCTGCAAGAGATCTTTGCTCCCTTTCCACTAGCTCTTCCTGGTCAATGTTTGAGGTATTTCTTATCTCAAGGCTTTGTGAAATGCCATCATTTGAAGAAGCTAGAAGCTTTTCCATTCATGATAGTTCAGCTCTCTTCCCCTGCGCCCTCCCAAGTTTGTTCGAAATCCAAAGTGTGCATTCTCTAATTGTAAACCAGAAAGAGTTGGCTTCACAAAAGATCTTGTTTGCCTATCATGTCTCGCTTGGAACCAGACTCGTTGTCTTAAAGGCTCCATTCTGTTCTCTGCATTTTGTTACTTTCACCTGGCAGCTCCCAAGGAAGGGACTTGTGGCCGTAGAGCAGGATCATCATAGGTAATGCTTATCTGCAGCCTTCGCTTCAAACCTTCATAGGGATATATGTGAACTAGGATGTGGTAGAATGCAGCGGACATGCCTGTACATGCTAGATAATGCAAGGAAGCCATAATCTGCCCTGCCTCTGCTCTGCACCCAGGTCTTGGTGGAGGGGAGATAGAGGTGGTGGAGTGCAACAGCAGCCAGTTACCTGGGTATATAAGTTAATGTGATTTTTGAATGAACTGAAGCTCAAAATCTGAAGCTTCTGTGAAAGTCCAAGGCGGAAGGGCTCTGGCCATCGTGACGAGGCTCTGGCAGTGTGGCCAGACCGCTGATCTGACAGCCCCCATACCGAGCCTGCACAATTATTTAGACCATGGTGTACTTGGTGCAGAGAGCCCTTCCAGAACATGCAGCTCAAGCTGGAGTGCACAGCTGAACCAAGCCGTGTGCCTGAGATCAAGACATCTTCTGAAATCGAATGTGACAAATTGCACTAGGTTGTAAGTAATCTCAGAGGCATTGGTGCATTCGGAGCACAGGAAAATGCCTTAAATGGGTCTTGTCTTCCTGTAATCTTGCTTTCTGCTTCTCTGCTGTATTTGCCTTCCTATGGTCAAACTTGTTTCATATCTGTAAGGACTTCCTGAAAACCAACAAAACAGAATTTTGAATTTGGTGATGGAAGGAACCTTGTTTTCCTTGTGGTGGTCCAGACGTTTGTCACTATAATTATCACTTGTTGTATCAAGACTAGCTTTTCTTGTTTATTCCTCCTTGCACGGTAAGGTGAGCGATGAAATGGTGGTGGAGCTGATTGAGAAAAACCTGGAGACACCTCCCTGCAAAAACGGCTTTCTTTTGGATGGGTTCCCTCGTACGGTGCGGCAAGCAGAGATGGTATGCAGTCCTTATTGGAATTGGGGATAATAGATAAACTTCTCACTCTAATCCCTAACTCTTAGCTATATATTTTTGCATATTGTTGAGTATTATGTATTTTGGTATGCTTTGTTTAAGGGATGTGGTGGCACAGTGGGTTAAACCGCTGAGCCGCTGGGCTGGTAGATCGAAAGGTCGACAGTTTGAATCCGCAGACGGGGTGAGCTCCCATACTCTGTCCCAGCTCCTGCCAACCTTGCAGTTCGAAAGCATGCAAATGCGAGTAGATAAAAAGGTGCCACTTCGGTGGGCAGGTAACAGCATTCCATACACTTCGGTGTTTAGTCCTGCCGGCCACATGACCACGGAGACTGTCTGGGGACAAACACTGGCTCCCTCGGCCAGGAAACGGAGGTGAGCACCGCCCCCAAGAGTCAGGCATGGCATGGAGAAACCTTTACCTTATGCTTTGTTTATTTTGTTAACTTATTATATTATGCACATTATTGTTTTTTCTTCTTCACAAAATATAAGTTAAATAATAGTTGCAATGCACAGAGTCAGAATGATGCAGCAAGTTGAGCCCTGGGTGGATTTCTCCGGGGAGGGGCTTCTGTACCGAGGGGCTGCCAGTGAGGAGGCTTTCTCTAAAAGCGTTGGAATGAGAGGCCACATTAAGGCAGGCCTCTGTGATTGCCCTTATGGGCATGTATGGAAGGAGACAGTCCCCTGAATTCCAAGATTAAAATGGGAAGAGGGCCGGGTTGAGCTTGCGCCTCACTCCATTGCTGAGCTCCAGGGCCAGTGGCTTTCCTTGTAACTCCCACTCCAAAGGGATTTGCTTTAGTTAGATTGGAATTTGCTCCTCCATGCGTTTTAAAAGTAGCCTCTTCCTCTTTTGCTTTTCATCCTCCTAAATTGCTGCAGCTGGAGGAGCTGATGGAGAAAAGAAAAGAGAAACTAGATTCTGTCATTGAATTCAACGTCTCTGATTCCTTACTCATCCGGAGAATTACTGGAAGGTAATAGCCACTTCCTCTGGAGATCCTCTGAGAGATCTTCTGCAGTGTTTCGAGCTATCCCAGAAATGTGATGCACTGCATGTAAGAATTCCTTGTAAAGGAGAACTAGAAAATAGTACTGGACAAATGCCACATGCATGCGTCATGCCCTTTAAAATTGTTTTGATCATATGGTTATATGATTCTCCTCTGCCATCTGGTGCCCTCCAAATGCACTGGACTCCATCTGCTCTCATCCCTAGTAAGCATGAGGGGCTGGTGGGAGTTGTAGTCAGCACATCTGGAGGGCCTGATGTGGAGAGGGCTGGTTGGGGAGGGCCTTCTGTTTCAAACTTCTTTCATAGCTTTAAGCTGAAGATGAGCAGGTGTTGATGTGGCTGGATGAGAGGCCCCTCTGAGCTTTGGGAATGCAGCCTTCAGTTACAGAAAGGCCAAAAGAGGGCACAGAAAGATTGTGAGCAGTGCATTCCTTTCACTGTGGGCCCCCAGGAGCCTTGTATCCAAGAGAAGTCGTCCACGCCCACCTTGATCCGCTGATGCGGCACCTGGTGCCTTCGGACCATTTGCTGCCACTGCCACCCCTTCGATCTCCTTGATCAGTGTAGCAGTCTCCTCTGCAAACGTGTGGCATGCCTGCCACGGGCAGCTTCTGTCCTCTTGCAGTGGTTCACAAGGTCCCCGAGGGATGCCTCCTTTGCTTGTGCCTAATGCCAGGCTCTTTGGTGATCGTGATTCTGAATAGATGCTTCTCCATAGGCCTTCCCCTTGACCAAGTCTGAGATGCCCTTTGCTGACTCCTGTGGTCTCTTCCAGGCTGATCCACCCAGGCAGTGGCCGTTCATACCACGAAGAATTTAACCCTCCCAAGGTCCACATGAAGGACGATGTAGGTAACCCTGCCGTTTAGCTGGTCCTCCTTGGGCCGTGCTCAGATTGCCTTGGATTGCTCTGCAGCTGCTGAGGGCGCCATCAACAGTGGGCAGTGTGGCAGCAAAAGGGGCTGTTTTCCCCCACTGCATTGCCAAAGTCAAATGGCCTTTCTCACTCATTTTATGGATTTTGAATACTGCTGCTAGAATCCCCCAGTGGACTTTCATATGTCACCAGTTAGCAAGTGCACAGCCTTTCTGTGGCCAGGGAGGAAGTAGAATCCATGTGATCCTTGTGCCTAGCTGACCGCTTGTCACAGAGAAGACACAGGCAAAATTGTAGACCCGCACCCCTCTCTCTCAGGAGAGATGCCTGAAAGTATGTAGCACCATCTTAGCCCCTTGGACCAGCTAGTGGTGTCAGAATAAATATGAAACATAGAAACAGAGCGAGTCAGAAGGGGCCTCCCGGGCCATCTAGTCTGACCTCGGGCACCAGCCGGCTCCGCTCACGACATGCCCACCATGTGCATGTCCAGCCTACCCTTGAACACCCGCACCTATGGGGCCTCAATATGTTAAATGTATGTGCATAGAAAGTAGGGGCCTGAAAATCTTTATGCAATTGTCCATTTATGCAACTTGCAGAATTTTATACAGGTTGCAGGATGCTGCTGTTCTTGGCACAAGATTATTTTGAATTACGTTTTCATTGTGAACAGCCTAAGCCAAAGGTTGTGTCCCGGCAGGCACCTGGCTCGCTGGGGCACATGCTGTGCTTGCTAGTGGGCAGGATACCAGGTGTCACCCACCGGTCTCTCTCTGCTTTGGCTTCTGAGCAGAAGGGGAACCACAAGGGTGCCTTCCTAGCCCATTCTTCTCTGCAGAGAGGGAGTGGCAGCAACCCCAAATGGTGACTGGCTAATAAGTTGAGCCAATGCTTGCGTTCCTTTGCATCTTGGCGCAGGGCAAAGGATCCTGGGACATCTCTTTGGTTGTCTGGTGCCTGCACTTGGGGTGATTCTAGTCAAGATCCCATTTCAGAGTTTTTGGGAGTCCGTCATTGCATCTGTGCTGTGAGCCAAGCTTTTCCCTTCCAGCAGTAACAGTCTTGCCAGGGCTTTTTGGCCAGACACCTTTATTTTACACCCCAGTCTCTGAGCATACACAAAGCAAAATGCTGAACCCTCTCCGACATGCTTCACCCAAAGCTTTCCTTACGAATCCTTCTGCAGCTGTCCCTGAGGGGAGGAGAGCTGTAGGACGGGGCGTGCCTGTGCTCCTCCCTCAGAGATCCCAGTTGGGCCACCTTCTGACTGTGACGACGGACTGTCTGGCCCACCACCTCGGAGGATGGAGTTCCCCACCCGATAGACCCCCCTTCTCTAACTCTTCTCCCTCAGCATGTTGCTGCGCTTCCTCTTCCTGGCCCCCCCTGCGGCCCTTGACCTAATCTCTCCCATATCGGGCACAGGCAGGTGCGCAGGGCCGTGGGCTGCCACCGGGACTGGGCCTGGGCCTGGGCCCATCTCAACACTTGTTATCAATCTGCTGTCAGAAGTTCCCCGCCAGAAGAGGGCAGCTCTCCTGCCACAACTCACCCTTGGATCCTGAGCTGCCACTCCAGCCAGACCGGTTAGCCTCTCAGGCGCACCCCGAGGCTTGTCAGGCTGCTGCATCCAATTCAGGGACTGGGATTCTCTCACCGCCAGATCGCATAGCACTGTGATGCTCGGGCCATTTGAGCCCCTGCTCCGGAGCACGTCTTCATGTGTGCTTTGCTCTTGCCAGGTTACCGGGGAGCCCTTGATGCGTCGGACAGATGACAATGAAGTAGCACTGAAAACTCGCTTGAAGGCTTACCATGACCAGACAGTGCCCCTGGTTGACTATTACTGCAAGCGCGGGATCCACACAGCCATCGATGCTTCCCAGTCCCCTGATGTGGTGTTTGCCAGCATCCTGGCAGCTTTCTCAAAAGCAACATGTAAAGACCTGGTGATGTTTATTTAGAGCTCTCCTGTCTGGCACTTCTTTCTCCTTTCCTGTTGGTCTTCTAGGGTCAGCAAGCAAGCAAGAGCTGTGGGAGTGGGTGCAAATTTCCCGAGAAAGAAGGCTGCTTAGACTTTCCATTAAACATGCACACGACTCTCATTTGTATGTATGCACATTTTGCTCTACAGAAACATGTCCCAGCCTGTGTGTGTGCTAACAGCCTGCAGGGGGTGCAGTGGACCAGCGCTCCCCTTTCTGGAATCTAGAGACAGGATTACATCTGCTCATTCGGTAGTGGAAGTGTTTTCACATTTGTCAGGGAGTCATGCTTAAATTGGAAAATGGCAGGCGTTTCTCCTCTGCCTGCATGGTGGCTAGCCTGGTGTAGGAGTTCTGAAGGTCACGGATATGTGGTCGGAAGAAGGAAAGTGCCTGGCTGGCCCAGTTGTGAGTCCTTGGCTCTCTGAAGGAAGTAAAATGCTGTGTCAGGTTAAAGGACTATAAAAAGTTGGATGTCTGCACCTTATGGAAGAACAGGCCTCAGGTAGCTGCTTCTGCTTCCTGCTTTTTTCTTCTCTCTCTCTCTCTCTTTTTTTTTTTTTTTTTTTGATCTGTGCCAAGTGCAGGTGCAGCCACAAGAGCACAGGAGCTCTCCAGAGCATTCCATGCTCCTTATTGTCCATTATCATGTGGGAACATGAGCACTGTTTCCTGTGCAGAGTTCACTACCTTCATTTTTGCTTCCCTTATTTTTTAAGCTTCTAGGGTATGTGACCATTAGCAGTTTTAAAAACAGAATGACATTGGTCAGGGAATAAGTCTTTATGCTCTTCGTGGCTAATAAAAAACCAACAAATTACATACAATAGGGTAATAGGTGAGGTTTTTATTGTGAAATCACCCTGGTTCAAGCCTGGCATTTTTTCTGGTGGTCTGGGCTGCCACTGGTATGCAGCCCTCTCAGGTTCTTTCCCCAACTCTTCTGTCTCTTCTTGCCAGAAAGTTAAGATGGCCCTTTGCCTTGCTGTGCTGGCAGCCTCCTGTCTGGAAGCTCCTTTGGTTTGAGGGGGCATATTTCGCGTTTAGAAACAGACACAAAGAAATGGGCCTTGCAAGTTCTTTGGTGCGGAAAACCTCCTTTTGCTTCTGCCTCTGAGACACTGGTGATGTCTTGCTAGCTGGGATTAGGAACCCTCCCTCGAGCATGAGCAACTTTCTCTGCCCCAGGAATCCTCCGAGGTCTGTTAGAGGAGAGAGGGGAGTGCTGTCGGTGCCCTGGCAGGGGTGGAGAAACATCTCGGCAGCGAGGGAGATGGTTGCTGCCTTGCTAGGTCTGGCCAAGGTCCTTTTAGCCCTTTGTGGCAGGTCCAGTGTCTCTTGTTCTCTCTCATACACACAGCCTTCCAGATTTACTGTGTTTTGTCTCAATTTATCATATAAACTTCTGGGGAAAATATTGTGAAGGGTGGTAGAGAAGCCCCTTAAAAAAGGAATAGCTCAGTCCTTTTCTCTGTCGCATCGCTTTTATATCTCTGCCTGCCCTGCCTGCATGATCCATTTTGTATTTTTAAGGACCATTTTTTCTCTATATTTGTCTTCATTGCAGCTGCATGAATCCAGGAGGCGGACAGGACAGGACAGCATCAAGCACTGCATCACCCCATCCTTTTGCCCTCCAGACAGAGGGTGTGTGTGTGGGAGGGAGGAGGCATGATAGGAAATATGATATGATATGGGCGGGAAGGCTGCAGGGAGTTGGGGGTTTCTCACCAGAATCTCTCTTGAGAATATCTGTGTTTTTAACAAGGCAAAATGGCGTTCGTGAAAGAAAATATGCAAATCATGTTAAAATGGGTCTGAGGGGTGGATGGCTTTTCTTGGAAGTTTGAGTACACAAGTTTGTACTGGGAAATCAATTGTAAAGTGGTAGCAAAAGGGGTGTTTTGGGGGTTTTTAATCATCTCAAACCCAGGTTTTTTAAAAAAAATCTTTCCAATGATTTAGAAAACTTTTTGCAAAGGTCCAGGCTTTCCCAGCCTGGTGCTTGCTAGACGCCTTAAGTGGCAAGTCCCATAATTCGCAGCCCACAGAATCTAACACTGGCAGTGTCTCCAGCCATGCATGAATCACAGCTCTGGCCTTGCCCCCTCCCATGTGGGGCTGGCTCATTCAGCATCAGGTGTGAGTAGCTTTTTCCATTACTCCTGGTGCAGAGGCGCTGCTGAATTTGGCACCTGCGTTTCAGGCAGGTGTGTCCAGAGCATTGACTCAAGTGGCAAGACAATTTGGGGATAGGGGGAGAACCATGACTCCAATTTTAATTTGGGTAAAGTTTGCCTTTGGTGTTGGGACAGTGCCATTGTAGGGAGCGCTTCTCTTTTCAGAAAGCCTTTAGGAATCGGTGTCGGAGGCCTTCCTCTGGATGTGGGGTACAAAAAGGGCAAAGCCAAGAGCCCCTTTTCTCACTCTTAATGAGACCTCTTTGGAGAGCACATTTGCTTCTCCCAGTTTTTTCACTTGCCGTCTTTGAGAGACCACCTGCTGCTTCAATAAAATGGTTGTCGGTTTTGGATCTGAGCAATTTACACCTTGACTTTGGGTGTCTTTATGTGTTGAGGAGGTGGGTAATGTGACAGAACGGGGAAGATTGTGCTAAAGACTTTTGTTTCTGTTGGGGTCCCCATTTCCTCAGTTTCAGACAAAGGATTAAAACACGGATGGTGGTGCACTCCATAGAGAGAAACTAGAAACAATTATTAACTTCAAATTCAGAGTGGGGCATCGAGGGAAGGAGGGATGGAAGAAAGGAATAATATTTCATGAAGGAATCTTAAGGAAGTAGAATAGCAAATGCTGTGAACAGGGTTACGTTCCCAGCCAATCACCTCTTGGTTTACGGGGAGTCTGTTGTCCTTGGCAAATCTGCCACAGCTCTTTTCTTTGTGTCCACATTTTAAAACTGGAAACTGTCCTTGAG